CCCCTGGTCCTATATCCCCCACTCGGGCCACAGGGGCCCGGAAGAGGTCACCCTGGGCTTGCCGTCACTGGGAGACGCGTTCTTTCTCGGTTCCATGGGCCTAGCGGTATGTGTGAGCACGTGGGAGAGCCAGCCCCTCTGCCGGCTGCTCCCCTGGGCACGGGCACCTGTCCGGCCCCCGCCCAGCCCGGGACCCACGCCCATCGATGCCCCGGGCTGACCTTGGTTGTCACTCACTCGCCATCCAGAGCGCCCCAGCAGACAGCTCTCCGCTCCCAGTTCAGTCCCTGCCTGCGTGCCCCCGGGACCCACCACTGGGTGAGGTAGCCCACTTGACTTCTGGAACATTCTGTCTCAGAGAGTATGACTAATATTAGCTCCGATATGCCATCTTGCTTTCCTGACCGTTCTACCTTTGTCTCTAGCTCAACATGCCCAGTCCTGACCCCCAGAATTCTCTGCTGCCGGAACTCCCACTTCCAATCCTTGCTTTTGGCCGCCACCCACTTGGTACCTCCTGCATCTCTCTTCCCAAGCGTCTCACACCCACTCCAGCTGGTGTTGCGTGACCCTCACCCGGCCCTCACCCAGACCAACACGCATACGGAGGTGTCTCTGGACGGCGGTGGGGTCCCCGGGGAGGTCCCCGAGGGCTGGAGGCCTCTGAGGGGTGGGCGAGTGACCGTTAGTAGTAGCACAGGAGGCAGATGGGGCCATGAACACAGAGGGAGGCAGATTCCCCTGGAAGCCTGGGGAGTGGGGAGCTCAGTCCGGAGTGAGACACCGCTGGGAACGTGGGGACGCCCGAGACACAGCCAAAAGCCCGACCTCCGGGGCGTCACCGTCACTGGGGCCTGTGGGCAATGGTTGTGAAACGTGCGTGACTCCGGCCGCAGCCTGGCCACCGCGTCCGGCCACAGGAATGGGCCTGGCGCGCTAAAGGGGAGGACATCCCAGGATAAGTGCAGCCGTGGGTCCTGGCGGGCTCCCAGCAGCACCCCGAATGCCGGCGCTGCACCCCGAATGCCGGTGCTGCTGTCCTGTGCGGCGACGCTTGTCCCGGCTGAGTGGGTGGTTCTCAGAGACCGAGTGCGTGGCCCTCTCCCACTGCACTTTGCAACCACTGACAGAGGGGAGGCCCGTGCGGCGTCCGTCTTCGCGCTCACGGTGCTGGACGTGGTGCGGAGAACATCGACGCTCGGCCACAGAAGGCACGGGTCCCCTTAGGCGAGGTTTCCAGTGACGCCTGCCCTGCCGCCTGCGGCTGGGAGTCTGCGGGGCACGGGGCTCCCTGTGCACGGACCTGGGCCATTGCACACAGGGGTGACCTGGCCATTGCACACAGGGGTGACCTGGGCCACTGCACACAGGGTGACCTGGGCCACTGCACACAGGGTGACCTGGGCCACTGCACACAGGGGTGACCTGGGCCAGTGCACACAGGGGTGACCTGGGCCAATGCACACAGGGTGACCTGGGCCACTGCACACAGGGTGACCTGGGCCACTGCACACAGGGTGACCTGGGCCACTGCACACAGGGTGACCTGGGCCAGTGCACACAGGGGTGACCTGGGCCAATGCACACAGGGGTGACCTGGGCCACTGCACACAGGGTGACCTGGCCACTGCACACAGGGTGACCTGGGCCACTGCACACAGGGGTGACCTGGGCCACTGCACACAGGGTGACCTGGGCCACTGCACACAGGGGTGACCTGGGCCACTGCACACAGGGGTGACCTGGGCCACTGCACACAGGGGTGACCTGGCACGGCACACAGGGGTGACTGGGCCACTGCACAGGGTGACCTGGGCCACTGCACACAGGGGTGACCTGGGCCACTGCACACAGGGGTGACCTGGGCCACTGCACACAGGGTGACCTGGGCCATTGCACACAGGGGTGACCTGGGCCACTGCACACAGGGTGACCTGGGCCATTGCACACAGGGGTGACCTGGGCCACTGCACACAGGGGTGACCTGGGCCACTACACACAGGGTGACCTGGGCCACTGCACACAGGGGTGACCTGGCCACGCACACAGGGGTGACCTGGGCCACTGCACACAGGGGTGACCTGGCCACGCACACAGGGGTGACTTGGGTCATTGCACACAGGGGTCGTGAGCACCCTCTCTGTGGTCTCTGTGGGAAGTCCTGGCACCCAGCTCCTGAAGGAGGGACAACTTCAATTTGGCTGTGGCCCTCCGCCCAGGGCTGCCAGTGAAGTGGAAGGGGAAGGGCTCTGAGGGTCCCTGAAGGTTGGAGGACTCTGTCCTGCTGGCCTCCCATGTCCCCTTGCCCAGTACACGGTCACGTGAGGCGTGATGCTTGGAGCTGTGGCAGCTCCTTTGTGCCCATGAAGAGCCACATCCTCAGTGCGAGGGCGAATAAGAGCCTGGGTCTGACTTCCCGGGCCAGGACGTGGCGCCCTAAACCGGGGAGAGTGCTGGGCAGCAGGCTGGCTGCTCACCCACCTCAGTCGCATGGACAGACAGAGGGGACTCGGGCGGCCAGCACCCTGAGCTGCCACCCAGCTCGGAGCCCCTCGCCTCTGGGTGTTTTCTTATGTAAACACGAGTGTCTTCCTGGTTTCAGTCTGTTTGTTACCTGCTGCTGAGGTCACAGGCCTGACAGCTGCACGATTCCCATCCTTTCCACGCCTTGTTTCTGTGCTGTTCCAAGCCCGCCCGCCCCCACACCCCGGCCCCCCTGGCACACCCCCACCCCCACCCCCGACGCCCTGGCCCCCCTGACGCCCCAGCCCCCTTGTCGCTGCGGGCACTGCGTCCATCCTATCAGGCGCCTCTTCCGAGGGCTGCGCCGCCTCCCTCTGCACGTTTCCCACGCCCTGCCCTGCGCGCAGCTAGCTGGGGGCTCGGTTTCTCCTTGTCCCTTCCCGGCCCCCACAAACTACAAGCCCCTGGGGGCAGACAGCGGCTCTCCCGGTCTCCCCTCGTCCCGTCCTGGCCCTGGCTTCACCATCTGTGCCCAGCCCCGTCGCGGGGCGGGAACTGAGGTCAGACCTGGCCCGACCAGTTTCATTCCTGGTCCGGGGCTCCCTGCACCCTCACCCCCTTCGGAAGCCCCGGGGCCACCGGGCCTGTCCTCTCCCGCCCTGGGCTGACCCTCACCTGTCCTGCCCCAGGCCCTCTTCCCCGAGGAGTCCCACGGGTGGCTGCCCCTCCTCACCCCAGCTGTCCTCCCATCCGGGGACACAGGCCCTCCCCTGGCTGCTCCCAGCAGCCCCTCTGCCTCGTCAGACGTCAGACGCGGTCCGTCTCTCTCCTCATGTCCCATACCTGGCCCCAGCAGGTCACTCACCTAGCACCGCCCCCCCCCCCCCCCCGGGTTTCACTGACAGCTGTTCAGGTCAGGATTCAACCTGGTGCCAGGGGACACACTGTGGGGAGCAGCCCGGGGCTGCCCCCTGTTTGTAACTCGCTCTGTGACCCGTCCCACTCCCACCCCTTCTCTGAGCCTCCTCCATCTCCTGCTCCCGCAGGGGGGCCTCGCCCACAGACACTCTCTCAGGCCTCAGTGAGTAAGGGTGGGAGTATTCTGGCCAGAGCCCCAAGCAGCAGGCTGCATGAGGAGCCCCTGGGGGCGGGGGAGGGCAGGAAGGAGAGGGAGGCCCTACGTCCAGGTTGGGCCCCGGGGCCTGAGCCAGGTGGGCCTCGAGCTGGGCAAGCCGGCCTTTCTGGGGCGACCTCTCCTCTCCCGGGGACTCGGTGCAGGAGGGGAGGTGGCTGGGCTCGCAGGCAGCGCTGCTGGGCATGGCGGGCCAGACGCCAGTGGGCTTCCCGGAAGGGAAGCTAAAGATACCCCTTCCCGGCAGGGCTGGGGCCGGAGCACAGGGATTCGGTTCCGCCCGCTGCCCTGGGGCAGGGGTGGTGGCCAGGAGGACCCTCAGCAGCTGGGCGCTGGGCGCTGCTGGGGCCGGAGCCTGGCGCCGCCGTCCATTGGCTGGTCCCGCTGGTGGGCGAGGGCCGGGCCGCGGCCTTCCTGGAAGCCCGGAGGCCGCCTGTCTCTCTGCCAAGCTGCCCACTGCATTCCTCGGCCTCCGATTTCCAGGCAGCCTCTGCCGGGCCCCCGCCGGGCCGGCTGAGCCAGGGCCCGGGCGCCAGGGTGCCCGTGTTTAGGGGAACTTGAGCTTTGTTTGGGCAGCAGTCAAGATGGGCGGGTGGGGGTTAGGCCGCTGGCGGGGGCAAGGGTCCCCTCTCCCTGTGCAGTCCGGGCGCGCGGGCGACCTGGTGACCGGACCTGTGTGTTATGTGTGTGTGCACGCTGGTGGAGGTGCATTGAGGTCGGAGGCCACGGGTCTGCCGTGGCCTCAGTACCCCAGCAGGTGTGGGCGTGCCCCGCCTTCCCTGGGGGACCAGAGGGGCGAGTGTGCCGTACGGGACTGTGGCAGGGGCCATGGGGGTCTGGCTGCCACACTAGACCCTGGTCATCCCCGCGGGGCAGCTGCCCGTGAGTTTGTCCAGCCGGCCTGGGAGGCCCCGGGCGCTGGCATCCTCACCCCCGCCCACGACTGTGGGACAGTGAAAAGCCAAGGTTTGGGCTGAGCAGCCCGGTTTCAAGGCAGACCCATGACCCATAAACTTGAGTTCAATAACGGGGATTTTAAGCGCACAGCTCAGGGCGTTAAGCGCAGTCACTGTTGTGCAGCTGTCACCACCTCCACTTCTTCATCGTCCGTGATCTGTCCCCCTTGCACACTCCCGCCCCCACCCCTCCACTTCTCGGCTCTTCGAACTTCTGGGTCCCTCCCAGAAGGGGAGTCGCACGATATTTGGGTTTCTGTGTCCGGCTGATTCCACTCGGCATATGTCCTCACGTTCATCATCCACCTTGCAGCAGGTGTCAGAATCCCTTCCTTCTGAAAAAATAAATATAGCATTCCACTTCTCTTTATTTCTGTTGATTTTAGAGAGAGGGAGGGGGAGGGATAGAGAGATAGAAACATCCATCGGCTGCCCCCTGCTGGGGATCGAGCCCACAACCCGGGCATGTGCCCTGACTGGAAACGAATCGTGACCTCCTGGGTCATAGATCGACGCTCAATCCCTGAGCCACACTGGCCAGGCGGGGGTTATGTGATTGGCTCGCATGATAGGAACTCACAGCGGGAGCCAGGCCCCAGGCCCACCTGGCTTCGGCAGCTCCAGCGTGTGTCGGGTCCGAATGGCCGGCCCAACAAGGGCGTGCAGGCTCTGACTGGGTCGTGCCGCGCTCCAGGGGGTGAGGGAGGTCAGGTCATCAGTGCGTCTCCGAGACCAGATGCTGGGCAGGCCAGGGCAGTGCTGGCCCTGTGGGGACAGGGCCACCTGGCTCAGGGCCCTGCTGCCTCCCTGCCTCCAGCGCGACTGGAGCAGAGGCGAGTGCGTCCGGGGTGCGTCCACCCCTGGGGCTCTGGCTCCCAGCCCTCCTCCCCCAGAGGGGGCAGGCCAGGTGCCACGGCAAGTGCGTCCGGGTGGAGGGACTGCTGCCCCTCGTGCTGGGAGAGGACAGGGGTGCTCCCGTCACCGTCCTTTCCGTGTCCCTGGGTTACTGTTTGGGGTGGGGTTAGGATGGCTTCTGTTTGGTGTCCTGGGAGGGAAGGAGATGTCACTGTAGCCATCAAACAAGGAAGGGCTGAGGCCCTGGGGGCTGGGGGGCTGCCCACAGCCCCAGTCCCGGGGTTCACACCTGCTTCCCTCCCTCGGAGCAGCTTCCTCCCGTCCCGGCACCCCTGGCTTCGCCTCCCCCGCTTGCTGGTTTAACCGGCATTGCATGTTTGAATAGGTCGCGTACCCCATCGCTGGAAACTCAGGGGTGAAGAGGGCTGGTTGAGAAATGTCACCTCTCTGTGGCTGGCTGCCCAAGGGGACCCCAGCCGTGTCCTCCACCCAAGCCCCAGAGCCGGGCCCTGTGCTGCCTTATTTGGCCAGAGGGACGCTGCTGGTGTGACTAGTTAAGGGCCTGACGCGGAGGTTATCCTGGGCCATCGGGGTGAGGCCTGAATGGAATCACAAGGCCCCTTATCAGCGGGAGGCGGGGTCAGCGGTCAGCGGGCTCCGCAGGTGCAGGAAGGGTGTCAGGTGCGCCATAAAGCACCATCGCCCGGGGGCGGGGCCTGAACAACATGGATTTCTCCCAGTCGGGGCTGGAAGTCCGGACCAGTGTCCAGCCAGTTATGTCGCTGGTCCAAGGCCTCTCGCTGGCCAGCCTCTGGCACTGTGTCTCCACATGGTGGGGGTGGGGGAGAGAAAGAGGGGGGGAGTGCTCTGCCTCATAAAGGCAATAATAATAATAATAATAACAACAACAATAATAATGTCTTATAAGGACACTAATTCCATCATGAGGGCCCCACCTCCAGGCCCCCCCCACACACACTGGTGGTTAGGGCTTCAACTTACTGATCTGGGGAGCAAACATGCAGTTTATGATGAAGGGGCCATGAGCCAGGTTATAAGCAGCCTCTAAAACAGCAGTTCTCAACCTGCGGGTCGCGACCCCTTTGGGGGTCGAACGACCCTTTCACAGGGGTCGCCTAAGACCATTGGAAAATACACATATAATTACATATTGTTTTTGTGATGAATCACTATGCTTTAATGATGTTCAATTTGTAACAATGAAACTGGGGGTCCCCACAACACGAGGAGCTGTATTAAAGGGCCGCGGCATGAGGAAGGTTGAGAACCGCTGGTCTAAAAGCTGGGAAAGCGAGGCAGCAGATTCCTCCGGAGCCCCCAGGGGAGCCGCCCCCGGGCTCCTGCAGACTCCTGACCTCCAGACTGGAAGATAAGTGTCGTTTTAAGCCACTAATTTGTTACAGGAAACGAATACACCCACATTGCCCGGCCTGCTTCCCCATCCAGAGCAGCCAAGCTTGCAGGTTGGTTTTGAGTGTCCCCTCCAGGTATGCGTCATGCATAGGCAGATGTGCACACGCACGCACACACACACACACGCACGCACACATACGCACACGCACACGCACTTTCCCCACGAACCACAGCTTACTATGCATGCTATTCTGGGCAAGTCTGTCCCCCAGGTCACAGATGAATGGACGGTCCCCTCCTCCAGCACACGTGCTGCAGGCCAGGTGGTGGCCAAACCTGGACGGGGGAGCCTGAGAGGCAGCCCCGGTCCTCGAGGGGACGGTGGGCGGAGGCCTCACACAGGCCTCCTATCCCCCCCCCCCCTCACTCAAATCTCCCTTCTGGCCTCCCCTCCCAGCCCCTCACTCCCGCCCCCATAGCAAACACCTGCCCTTTAGGGGACAAGCAGCCACCCCAACCGGGACCAGAGCAAGTCCCTGCACCCCGGGAGTTCTGCCAGGGACTCTTTGCTGCTCTCTCTGGCCCATTTAAAAAGCAGGTGGGGCCCTGGCCAGTGTGATCAGTGGATAGAACACCGGCCTGCGGACCGAGGAGTCCTGGGTTCGATTCTGGCCAAGGGCACAGGCCCGGTTGCAGTCTCGATCCCCAGTGTGGGGCGTGCAGGAGGCAGCTGATCCATGAATCTCTCTCATCATGGATGTTTCTATCTCTCTCCCTCTCCCTTCCTCTCTGAAATCAGTAAAAATCTATTTTAAAAATAAATAAATAATAGAAAGCGGGGAGGGGCCTGGGGGTGGGAGAGGACGGTTCTGGTTAGGCAGGAGCGGGGTCGCTGGCTGGTTCAAGTCCAGGCCAGCGGGTCTCCGCTAGGATTTGCTGTGTAACAATAAGCGCCACGACTTCTGGGGGTCACAGGCCGACCCTGGGCGCCCCGCACCCGCCACTGCGCCCACCGACGGGGCTCTGGGTGGGTGGCTGCTCCCTGCGCTGCTCCAGGCAGGCCGGGCGCGGCCTGTCCAGAGAGGGGCCTAGGGGAGCCGCCGCGGGGCGCAGCCGCCTGTCCCTCGCTCCATTAGGCGGGCGCAGCGCCGGGCGCATCGATTGCTGCTGCGGGAGACGCAGAGACGCAGGGCCGCTCCGCGCCCGGGCGGCTGTCGGGAATCCGTGGCTCCCCGCGCGCTTCCTGGAAACGTGCTCCCGAGCGAGAGAGCGCGACGGAGCCCGGCTGCCTGGTCCCCGCGCCGCCCGGCACCAGGCGCCCCGGCCGCTGAGCCCGCAGGGGGGGAGCTGGCGGGCGGGGCGGGACCCACCGGGGAAGCCGCGGGGCAGGGGGGCGTCAGCAGCTACACAGGCAGCTGCTCCCCTCCCGCAGCCTCGTGGGAGGGTGGCCCGGGGCCAGGCGGGCGGAGGTGGGCAGGTGGGCCTGGGGTCCCGAGCCCCCTCCCTGCTGCGGGACTCCTCCCCCTCCCCCCTCCCTCCCCCTCCTCCCTCCTTCTCCCCCCTCCCCCCTCCCCCCTCGGGCTGGGGGCTGGGCGTGTGCAGCCGCAGGTGTCTGCCTACCACGCGGGATCCCAGGGCGGGCTGGTCGGGGTAGCCTTCTCTCAGGAGAATGTTCCAGGCCCTGTGGATTTTTTATTTAAACGCCATGGACACATTGCTATTTTTATATAGTATAAGAGCTGACATTTTTGAAGGATGAGATTTTTAAAAAAGCAGGGTTGTGTTTCCATGGCTTGTCCTGCTCACGGCCCACCGTGGAGACCTGGGTTCCTCCGGGGGGCCTGGAGCGGGAGGAAACACCCCACCCTGCCTGCGACCCCGCTCCTACTTCAGCGGCCTCAGCGGGGCTGGGGGCTGGGGGCTGGGGGTGCATTTGCTACTTACTGGCTCAGTGACCTCCGGCCTCTTTGACCTCAGCGAGCTGTTTCCTTTCTGTCAAATTGAGGGTGCCCAGTGGCTTGTGGGCTGACCCTCACATCTGGCTCTGTGCCAGGGGGGCACAGGCGGGCTGTGGGATAGACACCCCTGAGCAACCCCAGAGGGCAGAGCAGTTGGGAGCCGACCCCCAGGGCCAGGCAGGGTTCTGTGAGGGGCACAGGGATCCAGACAGCACGACTTTACCGCTGTGTCTGGTGAGGCTATGGTTCCGGGAAGGGTCACTGTTGGTGAAATCCGTGTCACAAAGCTGAGTGGCCGCGGAGAGGAGGGGTTCATGGAGGAGTTGGCCGGAGAGAAGAGAGAGGGACCGCAGAGCCGGCCAGTCAGTCAGTCAACAAACACCAGCTGCCGTGGGCTGGGTGCCAGGCCCATTCCAGGTAGTGGGCGCGGGAGCTCCCTCGCAGCGGGGATCCCCGGGGTGTCCATCAGGGCGCAGCTCTTCTCTGCGGAGCTGCAGAGGCACCTGGGGCCAGGCCCCGGAGCTGAGGTGTGGTCCCCCTGGGCGGAGAGTGACTCAGGCCACCAAGCCTCCCCATCGCTGGGTTTGGTTTGTTTAAGAACAAATTAGTCACGGAACAGGCAGCTTTCCCGAAAATAAAATGAGAATCCCCAGGAAGCAGGGAAAATCGCAGGCATGCGGGTGAGTCAGCACGTGCTGCCCCGGGCGGCCACTTTCCAAAAGGCTGTGCCCGTCCCCCCTCCCGCTCCCCGTCCCGCCCACCCCCTCCTGGGCCTGACCCCCCCCCCCCCCCCCGCCCCAGGCCCCTTCTCCACCGCAATGCTCCCTCCTCTCCACTTCCCCCTGCTTCCCCTCCGCTCCGGCCTCTTCCCTCCCACCCAGGGGCCTCAGCTCCCGCCCCAGTCCTCATGCAGGCCCCTTGTTCAGGGCTCGCCCTTCCTCCTTCACGTTCACCTCCATCATCCGTTCCGTTGGCATCACAGGGGAAGGAGACTCTGGGGCGGGGGCCTGAGAGGGTATCTCCAGCCCAGCCAGTGCCCTGGGCCCGTCCTGCCCGCCCCCTGCTCCCCTGGTCACTCCCTCGGCCGGGACAGGCAGAGCTGGGCCCACAACCCAAAGGCGAAGGGACAGTGCCTGGGACTTCATCCCACGTCCCGTCCTGCCTGCCTCCTGGTCAGAGCTCAGGGCTGGTGGGCGGAGAGGTGTGCGGGGAGGCAGGGCAGGAGAGCTGGGGGGCCTGGCTCACCACCCGCGGGCAGGGGGCGGGGCTGTGTTTGGAATGTGAGGGGTCAGGTCTGTCCACCTGCTCCCTGCTCCCCTCCCGAGCCTCCTGTCGGAGAAGGCCTGGCGTGAGCTCTAGGAGGCCTCTGGCCACGCCCCCTGCCACCCGTCCACCCACCAAGGACCCCAGGGTAGGCCCTGGGGCTGCAGGAGGAAGACGCAGAGGGGAACAGAGGGAGCCAGACACCTGGGACCCGGCCTCTTGGGACAGTGCAGTGGCCTCAGACCCCCTGCCAGGCACTGAGCCCCTCCACCGGGACAGGCCCTGAGGGGCCAGGGCACCTCTGCAAGCTGCTCCCCACGTGGCCAGGGCCCTCGATGCAGTCTCCCCCGCCCCCACCCACCCCACCCCACCCCAGCTGGAACCCACACTGTTCCATCCTTGAGACCCCAGGGCCTCTCCTTCCCAGGCCCCTCTCACTGCAGGGGGAGGCGGCCCCAGGCCGGGTCACGGGCCTGGGCCGGGGTCCCCGGTCTCTCCGGCACTGTCCCTGTCTGCCACTCTCCATGAATAATTGAGTTGTTCAGATTACAGTAAAGAGCGATTGAGCTTCCCTTCCCAAATCGTTAAGCGCTGATACAAGAGGCCTTGGTTCCTTCTGAGGAAAGTCCCTCTCCCTCCCAGTCATTCCCCAATATTGGGCAGCAGTAGCAGATTCCTTTTTTAAAAATCTTGGCCGTAAAACAGTGGATTGGAGGATTAAATGCCAGTTCTTGGGAGCAGGAAAGTACTCTGTCCTGAGAGATGAGGTGAGGTGCTACTCAGGAAAGAGACTGGGGGAGTTCGTGTGGACCCCAAGTTCCAGAGACAGGAAGGAGCAGCGCAGGAGGCGAGAGGAGGCAGCATGGGGTGTGACACCCACTGGACGGTGCAAGAGTGCACGAGTGTGTGCGTGTGTGTGCGTGTGTGTGTGTGCGTGTGCAGGCACAGGTGGGAATGCCTGCAAATGCGTGAGTGTATCTGTGTGTGCATGTTGCACACACGAGTGTGCATGGTGGGCGGGTTTGCACGTGTGCGTGCACGTGCATGTGGGCATGTGTGCACATGTGTGTGCATGCGTGTGGACGGGAGTGTGCATGTTATAGGAGCTCCGGTGCAGGGTGGCAAGGCTGGGTGTGTGCCTGGGACCGTCTGGGGGTGTTCAGAGCAGGAGGCCTTGGAGCTGGGAGGGTTGGGTGAAGGATCGGGGTGGGGCTGGGCTCCCCGCAGCCCAGTCAGGTGACTTGCAGGCAGGCAGGGGAGGGGCTTTAGGGAGGAGGGAGGCAGGGAGAAGTGGGGAAGGGCCCGGGTGGGGACCTGGTCTGGAAGAGACTGTGGAGTGAGACAAATCCAGGGTCTTGAGCACGGGCTCCGCTCCGGAGCCAAGGAGGGCGGGAGCTGGCGGGTGTGCCCAGAGGAGAGGGGCTGGAGCCCAGGCCTGCAGCCTGGCCCTGCGAAGGAGGCAGCCCAGGCCAGGGGGCGGAGGGGGGGAGGGGCCAGGAACTGGGGTGCAGGTTGGCTCCTGCAGCTGTGGAGGAGCAGGAAGGGGAGGAGGCGGCTCTAAGTGAGACCTGGTGGCAGCGCAGCCTCTGCACCAGCCTGCAGCCAGCTGTCCCTGTCCCATGGAGGAGTGTGTCCCGCGGAGGAGCGTGTCCTGCAGCCCGTGGCGGGCAGACCGGCACTGCCTGTGACGCCCCCACCCTGAGGCTGGGGTTGTCCATGATAATCATTATATGCCGTCCCTCCTTCCTGTAACTGCAGCTCCAAATGTGCAGGGTTTCCAGGCAAAGGGAGTGAGCATGTGGCCATCCTGCCCTGGCCCACGACGGGTAGGGCCCCCGCCCAAACAGCCCTCTGGTGCCAGCCATGCCTGGAGCCATCTGCACCTGCCACCAGGAAGGTGGGGATGCTGCTCCCGGGCCAGGCAGGAGCCAGGCTGAGCACCTGGGCAGCAAGGGAAGGAGGGAGGGAGGGAAGAGGGAGGGAGGATGAACAGGAGAGGGAGAGAGAGGGGCCGGAGAGAATAAAGAGGGAGGGAAGGAGAGAAAGCGGAGGGATGGGGGCCTGAGTGGCTTCCCAGCTGTGCAGGGCCCTGGGGACCGCGGGCTGAGAGGCCCCTAGGTGCGTGCGCTGTTTATTTGCTCTTCCTCGGGGTTTACTGCCCGCCCTCCGGGGCACTTATTCCCCTCGGGGCTCCGGCCGGTCCAGCTGGGATTGACCGCAGTTGCCCTGGCAACACCCCTTTGTTAGGCACTAGCATCCGAAAATGTCAAACCGTTTCCAGCGGGTGAGACCTGGTCCCCGCCCTCCTTCCCCTTCTCCTTTTTCAGCTCAGCTGCCTCTGCCCAAGTCGCAAACTTCCTCCGTCTCCATGGGGACCGGGGAGGGCTGTCCGTCTTTCCGTCCCAAACATCTGTCTCTATAAACAGTTGTGGCGGCGCCTCCTCCTGGGCCGGGGCCTGGGCAAGGGCTCAGGGCTGGGGAGGAAGTGCTTTGTTTATCTGGAGGCCTGTTTCCTTGCTCCTCTGGGCCCAGCGAGCCGGCGGCTGCAGCCTTGGGCTCCGCCAGCCGAGCCCCGGGCCCCGGGCGGGCAGCCAGTGCGGGAGGGCGGCGGCTCCGCTCTGCTGGCTGCTGTGTTGCCTTAGACAGGTCACTGCACCTCTCTGAGCCTCTCCTTCCTCCTGGGGACAGTGGGGATGCTCACAGTGCCGCCCTGACAGCGCGTCGAGGGGCGACGAGATGCGGGTCACACAGGTCACACAGGTCACGTGTAGTCGGAGGTTTCTGTATCTCGTGTTCCTGACCTGTTATCCTAAGTTACGATGGACCAGCCCCTCAGGGGACTCGCCATAGACCTGGCCAGGGCCAGGCAGGGACGGGCAGCAGGAGCAGGGATCCCACCCCAGATGCGAGCCCAGATCCGCCGGGCCCCCTCTCCGCACCCCAGGGCTCGGCGTGCGGACTGCAGAGCTGGGATCGCGTGGCGTCCTCCCCAGCTGGACACGGAATTGTTTCAGGGACGAGGGTGCGGCCAGCTAAGGAGTCAGGGGGGCTTTGCCGAGAGAGAGCCGGGGACCGGACCGCGTGCTGTGGGGTGAGGAGGCAGCGACCGGCCGCCGTGACTCAGGCCCGCTCTCCCCGGCTGCTGGAAGGGCGCGGGGCCGCCTCCGAGAGCCCTTCCCGGGCCCACGTGGCGTCAGCACCTGCGTCTCTCCCCGTGGGCCTCCTCCCGTGGGCCTTGCCAGCCGAACTCCCAGCTCTGAGTGCGGCCCAGGCCCCAGTGCGGCGCCGAGACCGTCCCCCGTCCCCACACGATTGAAGGAGCGGCCTCAGAAACGACCGTGTGGATGGCGTTAGCCCGAGGCTCAGCTGTCGCGTCTGGGGAATGGGCTGCAGAACGGCCAAGAGGACACTCCCGCCGTCACCCTCAGTTGGCTCAGGAGGGCAGCAGGCTGGCCCCCGGCCCCTCAGACCGGACACTAGGGCCTGGGTCTCAAGGCAGCGTGAGCTCCACACAACGAGAGTGGCCTCAGCGGCAGCGGGGAGCAGGCAGGCTGGGCGGCGGGTGCTGGGTTGGGCGAGGGGTCCGTGCTCTTGACTGGACTCGAACCTGGGACCCTTTAGGCCACAGGCTGACGCTCTATGCACTGAGCTGAACTGGCTAGGGCTCATCGTCGATGTTTCTCTCTCTCTCCCTCTCCCTTCCACTCTGAGATCAATAAAAATAAATTAAAAAAAAAAAGAATTTCAAGGTGACTGCAGCGCACGGCTCCCTCCCAAGTGCGGCCCCGAGCGCGATGGGGCTGACCCTGTCTCCTGGGCCCCCCAAGAGGTCGAACACGAGGGCTGAGGACAGAGCGGGACGAGGGTTCCCGAGTCCGTCAGTCGAAGGTTCATTCCCAAGAGTCGACCTCCCAGACTTCCTGGGTGCTGAGCGGTCCTTCTGCACCAGGCCGGGCGGGAGAGGAGAGGTGGGTGCTGGCCCCTGGCCAGGCGCGGTGGAGCCCCCAGGTCCGGCCCACGCAGAGGCCAGGGGTGTCGGAGACGGTGCAACGAAAGCGCCTGATGCCAGGCCTTCCTGTGCCCGCTGCGCCCTGCCGGGAAGAAAGGGCCTCGGGTGCTGGGCTCACACGGAGTGTCTGGGCGGAAGCCATGTGTCTGTGACTGACTCCCCAAGGCCCAGGAAAAAGTGGGGAGAGGGGGAGAAAGAGAAAACGTGAACCGACGTGGTAGAGTGGACCATTCGGGGTGTCTGGGTGAAGGGTATACGGGAATTCTTCGCAGCATTTTTGCAACTTTCTGTAAGCCGGAAATTATTGCAGAATAAAAAGTTTGGGTTTTGTGTTTTGTTTTGTTTCAAAGGTGATGATATGGTCATTATTGCGGGAGGGGAATACCAGCCAGTCCTGCTGAGGGGGGCTGGGTGCTGTGGGGGGCTCCGGGTCCTGCTGAGGGGGGCTGGGTGCTGTGGGGGGCTCCGGACCCTGCTGAGGGGGCTGGGTGCTATGGGGGGCTCCGGACCCTGCTGAGGGGGGCTGGGTGCTGTGGGGGGCTCCGGACCCTGCTGAGGGGGGCTGGGTGCTATGGGGGGCTCCGGGTCCTGCTGAGGGGGGCTGGGTGCTGTGGGGGGCTCCGGGTCCTGCTGAGGGGGGCTGGGTGCTGTGGGGGGCTCCGGGTCCTGCTGAGGGGGGCTGGGTGCTGTGGGGGGGGGCTCTGAACCCTGCTGAGGGGCTGGGTGCTACGCCGAGGGCTCGGTCCCGCTGATGCCCCATGGCCGAGGAGGGGGCAGCCGAGGTCCTGTAATGCCAGCCCCACCCTGCCACCAGCGGCTCCAGCGCTGGCCTTGTGGCCAGTCGTTCCCGTTGGGGGGCCAGTGACTCAGCCCCGGTTCCATGTGGCAGGAAGTGGGCACAGTGACTCACGGGTGGCTCTGTGCTCTCCGCCTGGAGCTGGGATAGCAGCGGAGGCCCAGCCAGAGGCGGCCTCCAAAGAGGGGACTCTGCACCCACAGTGATAAGCCAGGGAGTGCTGCTCCAGGGGCCGGGGCTGGGGCACAGCTAGTAGGGCCTGGGGGGCACGGTGGGGAGGGCCTGGGGGACACAGCAAGTGGGGCCTGGAAGACATAGGGGAAACTGGGGGGCACAGCTGGGAGGGCCTGGGGGCACAGCTGGGAGGGCCTGGGGGGCATAGCTGGGAGGCCAGGGGGGGGACAGCTGGGAGGGCCTTGGGGGCACAGCTAGGG